TTCTGCAAAAAAGCCCCGATTGCAAAAATGGCGATCGGGGCTTTTTTGCGGAAAAGCGTGGCTAGATTGGCACGGACACTTTTCCGCAAAAGCACTTTTTGCGGAAAAGCGTCTGTGCCAATCTAGACGTGGTTTTGTGCAAGAAAGCCCTGATCGCCGTTTTCGGGGCTTTTTTGCGCAAAACAATACTGCGTTGTCTACACTGGCCCTCTTGCGCAAAAGCATTTGCGCAAGAGCGCTTTTGCCCGAACGGGAGCAGCATAGCGTTTCTGCAAGAACACTGACAATCTTACATGAGATCATCAGTGTTCTTGCGGAAATTCAAGCAGCCAGTGTAGAGAGCTGGCAAGTTTTTCTGCAAAAGCAGCTGCTTTTGTGGAAGAACTTGCCAGTCTAGACGCAGCTGTTAAGTGTAGTTAATCCACCTCTCTCAGAGGCACTAGGACCTGCGGAAGAATTTTTTTCTCAGTCTTGCTGTGTCTGTGTTGGGACCTAGGTCAACCTAATTATTCTGCACAGAATGTGAAACTTTATACCACCTTGAGCGAAGAAGCCAGACCTAATGAGGGTACCCTTAAAATGACATAAGAGCCTCTGTGCAGATTTTTGCACCCATTTAAATTTAAACCAATAGCTTTAGTCAATGCAATGCAACTTTTTCATGCTGGTAGGGGCCTTGTGCAAAGTACTTTTGATACATGTGCACACAGGAGATTAAATAAAAATATGTGAAATTTGGAACAAAAGAGACAAGATTCCAGGACTTCTGTGAGTAAGGCTGCATGAAGACTACAATTTGAATGAGGGATGCTTTTAAAAAGTGAGATGTAAATAATAGTTTTCTAGAAACAGATCCTCAATGCAAATAGGAGGGAATATCCCAAAGCAGAGAGACTTGGCAGAACTGAAAGTATTTGGTCTGACCAAGTCATTTATGCCTTCTGTGTTTTAACATTAAATTACATGCATCTCTTTCATGCTCTGGATATGCATAACTTTAACAATATCAGTTTATTTACAGTGTCCAGTGTTAGACTGCTCATTCTGTTCCACTAAATGTCCCCAGCAAACAAAAATAAAATAATTGTGGTGTATTCCATGGCCCACAAGAAAGATTCAAGCTTGTGAATAACTTTACTCCTGTGAGTAACTGTATTGCACTCAGACTACTTACAAGAGTGTGCTTTGCAGAACTGGGTCCTAAATCCCTTTTAGCTTTGTACCTGTTGTAAGTAGTGATTTGTTGGTAATGTTGCCAAAAAAGAAATGACAATATTATCTTTTACCATATGAGAATAATTTCCATTTATTTTAATGAGAAGTTGCAGTATATACATATTTAGCATATATATATGCTCCATGTGTGCTCTAAATTATACATGATAAAGTATGCTCTTGTTTTCTGTGATTTCAGTGTATAAAATAAAGTATGCCCAAGGTAACATTAAATGGCATCACAGTGGACTTTCCTTTTCAACCATACAAATGTCAGGAGGAATACATGACTAAAGTGCTCGAGTGCCTCCAGAAGGTAAGCCCTGGGAGAGGCTACAGTAAATGCCCCAGAACTGCTCAGGTGGACTTCTTTGGGATTAATTTGTACTCGGAAATGGGTGAGAAGAATGATTTAGGATTTGGAATATCGGTGTTTCCAAAATAATTCCTTCTACCTACAATGCAGATTTTACTGGGTCAGTAACATCAGCCATCAACACTCCCAGGTTTCTGCATTTTGTTTATAACATAATTTGATTTTATCCATAAACAGTATCACCCATGATATGACACTTCACTCCAAGGCTACATCTAGACCAGCATGATTTTCTGCAAATGCTTTTAACAGAAAACTTTTCTGTTAGAAGCATTTGCGGAAAAGAGCGTCTAGTTTGGCACGGACGCTTTTCCGCAAAAGCACTTTTTGCAGAAAAGCGTCCGTGCCAATCTAGACGTGCTTTTGTGCAAAAAAGCCCCGATCGCCATTTTCGTGATCGGGGCTTTTTTGCGCAAAACAAATCTGAGCTGTCTACACTGGCCCTTTTGCGCAAAAGGACTTTTGCCCAAACGGGAGCAGCATAGTATTTCCGCAAGAAGCACTGATTGCAGACAGTAGGAAGTCAGTGTTCTTGCGGAAATTCAAGCGGTCAGTGTAGAAAGCTGGCAAGTTTTTCCGCAAAAGCAATTGCTTTTGTGGAAAAACTTGCCAGTCTAGACATAGCTCAAGAGGGCAACATTTATTATGAAGATTTGGGGGTGTACAGGTGGGTAAGAAGATGTTCATCATTGTGAGGATTCACAAAGGCTCTGTCAAAATGGACTAGATTTGAACCCAAGAGCAAGCCCTTTTATTTATATTTAAAAAATCAGTTTGGTTGTTTTAAGCTAAACAAAACACGAATACAAACTAGTGCAGCAAATGTTTTGAAGGTAAAGTAGTGTTTAAAGGCTGTTTGTAAAACATGTTAAGTGAATTGTCTTAGAAAATTGGGGAAAAAATTGAAAATGTTTTTTAAGAAAGAGGCTGTGCAGTAACCTTTTTTCTGGTGATTTACAGTGGAATTTTAATTGTTGTCTTTATCAAAAAATCACTGTTTGTATTAGCTGCAGTGCAATTTAGGTAATAGGTTATTATATGGTTTGCAAATCATGAGAGGAGAGTCTCACAATTTAAACTACTAATAAAAAATACTAGTTTTTCTCCTTCCTTGTCCCTATACTCTCTTTTTCTTCTCATTCCACCAGACTTTATTTTTAATGGTACATATTTTTAGTATGCAATTAAAAAATGTCAGAAATATTATAGTGTTAAATCTTTTGGCAGAAATGTAGGTAGGTTTTTTTCTTGCCTCTCCAAAACTTGGAAAAAGAGAAGAAAACTAAATAAGTAGTCCTTATGTTCATGCAATCTGTCCATAATTAAAAAAATGATAAATTTGTGGTATTATCTACTTGGCATCTCCGCAATATAGTTTTAGTGAATGTCAAACAAATAAGGAAACATCTTCCAAAATTCTGATTATTCTTTGCCTGGAGTGCGAAAAGCAGTTTTTGTTAAATTCATGTTCTTTGTTCCATGCTGTCCTAGGCTATGTGTAGACTGCAAGCCTCTTTCGAAAAAGAGCGTCTAGACTGCAAGCAGTACTTTCGAAAAAGCAAGCCGCTTTTTCGAAAGAAAGCAGCGAGTCTGGATGCTCTCTTTCTAAAAAGCCCTGTTGGCATTCAAGAATGCCTTTTTTCGAAAGAGCACTTTTGAATAAAGGCGTTCTTCCTCGTAAAATGAGGTTTACCGCCGTCGAAAGAAAAGCTGCGTTCTTTTGATTTAATTTTGAAAGAACGCAGCTGCAGTCTAGACGCAGGTGAAGTTTTTTCGAAAAAAGGCTACTTTTTTCGAAAAAAACCCTGAGTCTGGACACAGCCCAAGACTTCAGCTCTTTTGTGGAAAGAGAGAAGTTTTACTCTCCATGACACTCCAGTCTCATCACAGTTGCAGTGTTAGTTACTCAGGCCATATCTTCTTTAACTGGAAGATTGACGCTCCCTCAATTGGTCTTCTGGAATTCAATTTAGTTGGTCTAGTTAAGACTCACTAAATCAAACTCAGAGGGCACCCGCAGCCAGTACTCCTGTTTCTGCGAGGGGCAAGGAAAGCGGATGGGAGCATTTGCTCCTGTTGATCTACTTCTGTGGGGATGGCGAAGAAACTCGTAACAAGATACGTCAGCGCCAGCTATGTAATTAACGTAGCTGGAGTTATGTATTTGGATTCGACCTGACCTCAGTTGTAGACTCTGTTAATGTTGAAAAGTAAAAACATACCATTTGAAATGTGTTTTATGAATGGCCTTTCTTAATAGTGTTTAGACATGATTTGCCCTGGCCAGTGCATAATATACTGCAATTTATAAAACCATTTAAAAACTGTAGTGTCTTGTCTACAGTCACAAGATATTTAAAAACAGGTCCATTGACACAGTTCTATCCCCAGTGTAAACCATCTCTACTGCATAATTCAATCTTGCGATGTGGAATGTATGTTTAAACTGTTAACTTGCTTAGCAAATCAGTCACCATCTACAGTCTTATAATCATTTCCAATTTTAGCCTCAGGCAGCATCTTAGAATATTTTCATTTATTTTAATCTGAAATTGATCATGTGTTAAGCAAAGCATGGAGATTTTCAGTGCTAGTTAAAGGATAAAATAGTTCATGAAATCTGTGTTTTAGGTTGAGTGGGATTGAGGGTCTTACTGGTTGTGTCTGTCTATATGTGGCAGTTTTATACAGGCTTATAAACCCTATGTATGTGTTTCCTGTGGAAGATATATCATGCTACATCAGTGTTTCCCAATTTTATCTGGCCACGGAATCCTTTTAAACTCAAAAGAATTTTGTGGAACCCCTAATAACAGTCTAATATATGGAGCTGAAAAAGTAGACCACAAATAAGTAAGGATAATAATAAACAAATGCTAAACAAAGTCATGAGATCAACATTTAGTTTAATTGCACATATTTACAAACAAAAATCAAGTAATATTTATAATTTTTTAAAAATCATAAAAGGTTATTGTAATGGAATTTTCTCGCTGAACCCTTCTTTTCACTTCGTGCAACCCTGGGTTCTGCAGAACAACATTTGGGAAACACTGTGCTACATAAATCTGTACAGTGATGTAGTTATTCTGTTGCTGGGAAAATATTGTACTGTAAGGTGATCGATGCTAGGCACGTTTCTATGTTGTCCTTATATTTTTTCCCTTCTCCCTATTTTCCTCAACATTAAAGAAGGTGAATGGCATTTTGGAGAGTCCCACAGGTACAGGGAAGACATTGTGCCTCCTGTGTGCCACTTTGGCTTGGCGGCAGCATTTTAAAGATGCCATCTCAGCACGGAAAATTACACAGCAAATGAATGGAGTGGAACTCTTTCCTGACAGACCCATATCATCCTGGGGTGATTCGGTGAAAGATGCTGAAATCCCAGGTAAATGTCCCAGTAAGCAGGCTTTAAGTGTATAGGGGACGATTAATTTTTTTATCCTTGTCATCTACTTGTGAATCTTCAATGACATTATTTAGCAGCTAAAGCGTTATTTCACACTTATCTTTTACCGACGTAAATCTAAAGATGCCTCACATAACTTTCCTCCTTGCTCAGGGCAGTAAAAATGTCCACTTAGCTCATTTCGTGTAGGTGAATAGTTGGATTCTAAAATTCCTTGCTGCCTCTATAAGCCATAGGGATGTGAAATAAAAGTGTAACCGTGTGCATGGTTAACCAAGAGCCTTGGCTCATTGGTTAATCTTCATGGTTACACAAAGGCTCCCAGTACACGCAGGAAGCCAGCTTAAAAGCTGGCTCCTTCCTGTCCCTCCCCATGTTGCTGCCTCTGATACAGCGGGGAGCAGTGCAGGAGGAGGACAGACAGGAGCCACCTGTCTCCACCCCCACATGTAACTTCAGTTTTCAGCGATTACACGGTTACTTAATTAAACACATTTTAACATCCCTAGCTGTTACCATAGTACCAGCTGGGAAAAACAGGCAAGTGATATCTTTAGTTCTTCCTTCTGTTTAGTGCTAATATTTTTTCTTCTTTTTCTTCCTTTGGCAGCTTATTACACTGATATTCCTAAAATAATTTATGCCTCCAGAACACATTCTCAACTTACACAGGTCATCAGTGAGTTAAAGAGCACAGTCTACAGGTAAATACTCTTAATGCTTTGCAATCAGAGTAAAAGGATAGTAACCCAGTAATTTCAGGCATTATTTGAATTGTGGTGGATGAATGCATATCTGATGATACATCTCCTAGAATGCAATTCTTATAATGCAGATGGGTGGAAACTGAATTTCCCTGACGCACTGCATACCTTTCCCCCATGCTGAGGATTGTGCGTCCCATTCTTCTTCCTTTTCTCACGCCTATCCCAAAGTTTCCTATGCCCAGTCCTCTTATAACATTCCTTTGTAAAAGTGTGGTTTTTCAGATGGTTTTCCAGTCAAGTCCTGTAAAGTTTTTTGTACATGAAAAGAAATCCTTCATAAGTGCTTCAGATTTTTCTTTTCTTCAGGGAGAGATGGATTTTTCAGTTTAACTGGGTTAACAGAATATTTTGATTGTATCCTGCCAATATGGTGCTGTTTCATGTAGCTCCTTAGTTCTGTTTTTTGTATCTGAGTAAGACTAAACCATTTTAGTACTGAACTTCTTAGATAGGAGTTAGCGTACAGAGCCTTGATTTGTCAGTAGCCACCTAAGTATCTGTATGGATATAACGTTTCAATGAACAAAGCTATTTTGAATGCTTGTCTTCAGCACAGTTTACAAAGTAAATTATCATTGATTCAATCTCCCAGCTATCTCTGAAATAGATTACCGGTGGGAGGGTATTTTTAGGTCCATGGTATTTAGATGTGGGATTCTGTGCCGTTATAATGGGATCTAGCTTTCGTGAGGGTGCTTTTTAAGAGAGTTGACCAAAGCTACTATTGATTACTCCCTTCCCCCAACACAGTAATTTAATTAATGCATGGTTAAAATTGAGGATTATTGCTACAAAAATGTGTTATGATATTATAGATGAGAAATATTGTTCTTAAAAAGCTTTGAGATTCCCAAATTACTGATACCCACTTTTATTCTTCTCCCCAGTCAACCTCTTACATTTGAAATACTTGACTCAGGCTCTCAATATACATATTCAGAAGTCTGTTTTTTTCTCCTTTCTTTCATTCTCCCCCTTTTTATAATACTAGCTATTTGTGTTTTATTTAAATAGGCCAAAAGTGTGTGTGTTGGGTTCCAGAGAGCAGCTTTGTATTAACCCAGAAGTTAAGAGACAGGAGAGTAACCATATGCAGGTAAGAATGCATCAGTGAAGTTGTGCACAGCTCATACATGTAAGTGACCGTGTCTTGGCTTTAAAAGTTATGTAACTCAACACTGAAATTCATTACAATCCATGGCAAAACTAAGAGGTATTAATTGACTATATAATTGGAGTGCTATAGAAAGTTTATATTCTTGTCCTGCTCTGTTAGAGAAGAATGAAATTCTGGGATTTACCTTTCTAAGAAAGGTTGTGACTGGTGAATATAAACTGGTTTTCTGTGTTCAACTTTCAGTCTTGTCATTTGCTTGCCAGGTAACATATGGAAAGTAGTTTAACAAGACATAGTCAATTTAAGAATCATCCTCCTGATGGAAAATGTTTGATCTACTGTTACATGTAATATTAAGGACTATCATAGGTGAAAAAAGACTAATGGGAAAAAATAACTGAGTAGTCTGTCACATGCCCTCCTTTTTCCTTGGGCATTTTACAAAGCAGTAGGGAAGAACACTGAGAGGAAAATGTGATTGTAAAACTGCAAAAATTGCCCACGGGATTAGTAGGCTGGTGTAGGCCCTGCAGTGATGTGTCTTATGACCTGAAATGACTAAATTTCAAGTGACTGGTGTCCCTTCCTCCCTGCCTTAGTTTCCTTATTTTTAAACTTGGTTCAATTCGACTTCCCCAGATCACAATCCCCTCCTGCCTTAGGTCACTACCCAAACCTCTGCACGGTAATCCCCTGCCTTAGGACACAATTGCATCCCAATCCTGTGCCTTGGGTCACAACTGCCTCCTTCACCCATACTCAATGGCCCCGACCCAAAAACAGGTTTCCAACGCCTGCCATAAATAAAGACATTGTTGAAACTAGCAATATTAAATTTAGTTTAATCAACTAATCGATTAGTTGATGGATATTCCATCAATGAGTTGATTAGTTGATAAGCAGGGGAGCTGCAGCGGGATTAGCTCCCGGCCCAGGAGCTAACCCTGCTGCAGATTTGCCTTTTAAATTTATTAAGAGCCGATAGGCTCTTAATGCATTTAAAAGGCTAAAACGGAGTGCGAGAGACCCAGCACAAGTTCTGGTCCATCCTGCTGTGCTTCTGATTTTTAAATGTATTAAGAGCTGGCTCCTGCTCCCTCCCTTTTGCTGCCTCTGATAGGAGCGCTTCATACACCTGAACCGCCTGCCCTGAGCCCCTCATGTCCCCAGCATCGCCTGTCTCCTGCATCCCCAGGTCCCTGCCATAATACTCCTACACCCCACACGTACCCAAACAGGAGCGCTTCATACACCTGAACCGCCTGCCCTGAGCCCCTCATGTCCCCAGCATCGCCTGTCTCCTGCATCCCCAGGCCCCTGCCATAACACTCCTACACCCCACACGTACCCAAACCCCCTGCCCCTCATATAACCCAACCCAGACTCCTGCACCCCCATATTCCCAGTCCCCTGCCATAAGATTGACAGAAGACAGCCTGAATACATGCATGAAGCTGGATTTGACCAGTTATGATGTAAACTTAAAAGAAATGTGTGAAAATGCAGCAGCAGAAGTCCCATTAAATAAAGTGAGTACAATGTTTAATTTATGCTATTAATCATTATGTCAATTATCAATAATATTAAGTTGTATATTTTCCGTCAGGCAAATGGGCATTCTTATGACTTTCAGGCTATGTCTAAACTACATTCCTCTTCTGAAAGAGGAATATAAATGAGCCCGATCAAAAATGCAAATGAAGCGTGGATTTACAAATCTCGTGCTTAATTTGCATAATTGCATGAGAGCACTTTTTCGAAAAAGAAACCACAGTCTAGATGGGGATCTTTCGAAAAAAAATCCCTTTTTTGAAAGAACCCGTACTCCTGAAAAAATAAGCCCTTAGTTGACCATTTGTTCTGAATTTTGATGTACTTTGGCTCTTTGGTTTGGAAAGGTTGCCGCCCCTTGATCTAGATCAGTGTTTCTTAACCTTTTTTGCTCATGGCCCCCTTCAGAGCCTCATTTACCTCTGTGGCCCCCCTCGTAGCTGGAGCCAACTCTCCCCCCCTCCCGCGGTGCAGGGGAACCCCGGGGCCGAAAACCCCGTGCTCCTCCTCCGGGGCCAACTCACCCCTCTTGTGGCGCAGGGTAGCCGTCACTCTCCTCTTCCAGGGCCGACGGCCCTCCCGCAGCGCGCCCAGCATGCCACAGGCATGAGGGAGTGGAGCAGCCAGCGCACTTCCGGAGTCCCTGGAAGTGGCGCGAAGCTGCAGGACTTCCATCCACCCCGTGGGAAGCTGGCAGTACCTCCATTGTTGCTGGAGGTAGGTAGTGGGGCTTCTCGGGAGAGGGGAAATGGGGGGAGCCATTCGCTTTGCAATCGATTCGATTGCGATCGACCAGTTGGTGACCACAGGTGTATAATATACTTGATCCGAAAAAATAAGATTACTAAACCACATAAATAATGCTGCTGAAATTAGCACAGAGAATGAGATGTGAAGATTATGACAAATTCATCATACGCCTGGCGGTTAAGTTTGGGTGGCCCCCTCAGAAACTTACTGTGGCCCCCTAATGTTCTGTTTTTTCCATGTGGCCCCCTAGAAGTAAGTTGTAGCCTCCTGGGGGAGCCATATGGCCCACGTTGAGAGCCACTGATCTAGATGGTGCTTGGTCCTGCTGTGAAGGCTGGGGACTGGACTTGATGACCTCTCGGGGTCCCTTCCAGTTCTAGTATTCTATAATTCTTTGAAAGGTGCCATAGAAATCCAACACACTGGTGATGCTCAGAGAAGTGGGTTCTCTTTTTCTTTGCAGGACAACTTGTTGGTATACCCCTATTTGATTCTCTTTAATGATCTGATATCATTGCTTCTAGCTTGGTTCTCAAAGGGCATACAGCATTTCTGCAGCCTCTCCTTCTAGCTGAACAAAGGGATTCTATTAGAAAGATCTCAGAAGTCAGTGTGGTCTTTTCTTCAGGGGAGCTGCATGGGGATCTTTGTGGAAAGATGGAGGCTTATCAGTAGATGCTCAAGAAAAGTCTTTGGAGATGGAGCAATTTGGGACCAAAAGCAGTCTCATTATGAAGGAGTCCAGTAAAGCCAGATGTTTCATAGGCTGTGGATGATGGCCCGATCATGCATTGTGCTTTGTTGGGGTAGTAGACATTGCACCATGATTATGTTTAAAAAAAATAATAATTGGGGTTTCAGAGAAACCCTTCCCATCTCTTTATGCTGAACTGGTATCACTGAATACCTTCATTTACTCTGTCTCTCCCTTTACAGCCTTGGGTCAGCTGTGCCTCTGTGCCCTGAAATGTGCTTTGTCTTGCAGATTCACATGTGCCGAATGAAAGTGATGGCTCATACTTGCCATTTCTATAACAATGTGGAGGGTAAGTTTGTCTATAGAGGCAGTGTCCTGATTTTAGGCAGAGATGAGCCTGACAGGTGGATGGGGACGTTGAGAAGGAATGGTAGAACCCATCTGCACCTGAATATGCATGTCCATTTACTTTTAATGGATTTTAAGCTAATTTAATGCTCAGGAAAAGCACAGGATTGAGATCCCTGAAAGCTGAGAGCCTTTTAATTTGTCCACAAAACAGAGCAAGGGCAGTAACAGTGCAAATTATCCATATAATCCTGACAATATGCTTCCCTCCTGACCTGGTGAGGCCTGTCTAGGAGTGAGAGAGTGTTTTGTTCAATGTTCCTGTTAGGCTCTTGTCCCCTTTGCCATGGCTGCTAGCACTTGAGCTAAAGGAGAATGTGGGTTTGGGGATTTGGATCAGGCCACAAATTAATTGCATGTTAGTCACTAAATAGTTGTCAGCACTGCTGAACTGCAACACAGCAGACAACCAGCATGCTGCATGATGCACAGTGTGAGGGAACAGAGACGAAGTAGCTAAGGATGCTGCTGGTGTGGTACGACAGACCCCTTGTCTTCAAGTGCAGATGATTTTAAACGTCCTTGCAGACTCCATATTCTATAAACTCTATTGTACTTATTGTAACCTAGAAAGGATGATGGGCTGAGTTGATTGTGTTGGAGTTCAAACTGTGGTTCTGTATATTATAAGACGAAGCTTAGAGCAGTAAATTGTGTCCCCTGGATTTTCACTACGCGCACATGTACACAGTTCTTCAGCACAGGACTAAATTAAGAAAAGGATACCCATTTCTCCTGCCTGTGTGGATTATAAGGCATTCAGGGTGTTGAATTGTGGGTTATAGGAACTGAGCAAACCAGAAATTAGGTTAGGACTAAAATTATGGCTCCAAGATGTGTATTGGCTCACAAACTAGGGATGTAAGCGACTAATCGACTAGTTGACTATCCAGTCAGCAAAAGCTTATCGGATAGTCGAGACACTAATTGACTAGTCACTCCCCTCCTTGCTGCCTCTGTCACAAAAGCCGGTTCCCTCCAGCTCTGTGGGACGGGGGCAGGGGCACAGCAGCAGTGTACCAACTTTGAAACTGAGAGTAGGGTTACCAGATGGTTTCAACAAAAATACCAGACACACTTGACATTACATCACAATCTACATTACATCTTATTTAGAAAATGCTGGACATTTATGTTTTCTCAATTATATTTTCTCAATTGGTTCCCCAACAGAAAGTTCAAATACTGGATTGTCCGGTTCAAAACCGGACACCTGGCAACCCTAACTCTGAGTCCTCCGCTGACCCCAGGCTCTATGCTGCGTTCCAACTTTGAAATGTACAAGAGCCCCTGGTGGGGGCTCTTGTGCATTTCAAAGTGGAAGCACCCGCATGGAACCCAGGGTAAGTGGGGAACTCCCCACTGGCCCCAGCTCCACGCGGTGTTTCAATCCCTGTGGAGCGGATGGAACAAAATACAAAATGATTGGGCATTGCAAATGACTGAAATCTTCAAATGCTAATGTATAATTGTCTGAAGCTTGTGCATTGAGGACTAGATAACAGCTGGAACATGCAGTGCTGGTGGAGCTACAGTACAGGTGGCTCTAGATTATCATACACAGAATAACTTCAGGCCTTAGTTTCAATCCAGGGAATAAAGACGACACTTGGATAGAATCCTGTCGATGTGGAAGGAAGTACAGTCTCCACATGTGATTACATTTATGTAATTGTTTGCTTTGATTTCTGTTACTGTTCGTTCTCTCCTTTACAGAAAAGAGTACAGAGAAGGAACTGACTAACTCCATCTTAGATATTGAGGACTTGGTTAAAAACGGAAACAAGCACAGGTAAAAGTTCCTTGTTGTCCTTCTTATTTTGGGGAGACCTTTTTTGTGAAATGTGATTGTATGAACTTGACCCCGGAGGAGCAGCAATGACAAGAGTCAAGTAGTGAAATTTTGTGCAAACAACTCTCAAGAAATCCATCGATTCTTTGTGGCCTTAATGCAGGGGTGGGGAACCTTTATCTGGGACAGGGGCTGCTGACCCACAGGAAAATCTCACAAATGAGAAGCAAGAAAAAGAAAAAAAAACCTCTCAAAACCCCTCACTGAGGTGGCACTGGTCTGAGAAGGAGAAAGACATTCTCCACGTTTCCCTTGCACACCAGAGCATAGCCAGGCCCAGCCTAATAGATTTTGTGCGCTCCAGCTGCACTGGGGCAGAGGAAGGCTCCCCAATGCTGGTGAGGGCCCTGAGCTGGGAGGGGTGCACGTCATCTGTCTGGGGGAAAGACAGGCAGACACAGAACTAGACAAACTCTCTGATCCTATATAGCAGATAGCTGTCCCTTTCTCCACTCCCACCCCCTGCTGGCCCAGCCCCATATCTGGCCCATTGCTATGCCCCCCTGCGGTCATTCTGCAGTATAACTCCCTTCTTCCAGCGCCCTCCCTTTCCATTTTATGAGAAACAATTTAATTCTACACACATCCATTTATCCTGGCACAATCAAACCCTGATCTTGCTTTATGTTTTGATAAGAGGAAGCTGAATAGCAAATTTGGTGGTCCTAGCTCTTACTGTTTAGGAGGAGTTCTTGAACAAACAGATGGACATACAGTCATAGACAGATGCACATTTCTAAAATATAGACTAAGCAGAAGAAGATGATAAATGAGATGGGCTCACATGAGTAAAGCTAGACATCTGCCTTACGATCTAATATGCCAATTCCAGTCCATTAAAAAGCTGATTAGAAATCTTTGAGAGCCTGAAACATAATAAATGAAGGCAGAGTGCACTTAAGTGTTTCTGTGGATATAATTTTATAGTTCATACTTTTTTTTTTTTTTAAAACAGAGTTTGTCCTTATTACTTATCTCGGAACCTGAAGCAGCAAGCAGATATTATTTTTATGCCTTACAACTATTTACTAGACTCAAAGGTAACATTTTAATTTTTAAATTCAGATGTTTTTATTGATCTTATATCAGATTTTAGTGGCTGTGCAAAAAAGAATGTGCATAGCAAGTAAAATCCTGGTGTGGTACATTTAAAAACGACTATATCATTGTATAGAGAACATAAGGCAAAACTTCATAACCAAATTCAAATAAAAAAACTTAAAGATGGCTCACATGCATATCTTGCACTCTGAATTTCCTCCTTTCCTATAGTTAAGGAGCGTAGATTTTCTGGTTTTAACAGGTGTCTGATGTCCTTCTGTCAGCGGAATTCTGACTGAATGACATTCAGGGCACAAAATTCCCTTATGTTCTTTATGCTGGTTGTTCAACAGTCATAATTTGATACTGTCTTGTATGTCCTTCTCATAAACAAACCAAGGAAATGCAGCCTAGATGGACCTATTATAAGACGGGTGCAAAACTGGTTGAAAAGCTATTCCCAAATGATTCACAGTCTTGCTAAAAGGGCACAATGAATGGGGTCTTGCAGGAATCAATTTTGTATCTGGCTCTGTTCAATATCTTCATCAATGATTTAGATAATGGTATAGAGAGTACACATGTAAAGTTCGTGGATGATACCAAGCTGGAAGGGCTTGCAAGTGCTTTCGAGGATAGGGTCACAATTCAGAATGATCTGGACAAACTGGAAAAATGATCTGAAGTAAATAGAATTAAATTCAATAGGGACAAATGCAAAATATTCCACTTAGGAAGGACTGATCAGTTGTACGTATACAAAATGGGAAATGACTGCCAAGGAAGGGGCTCAGGGTTGGGGGTCTCGCTGGACCAACTTGATTGTCATGCAAACCTGCTCCTGGGTTCGCATGTGGCCTTTGGTGGCCAGGCTGGCAGCTATCCTGCCATAGACGGCCGCGTTCCTCCATCTAGTGCGGATATCATGGATGTTGGGAGCATCCCCCGCAAACCTGATGAAGGTCCATGATCTCCACCCTGGACCAGGAAGGCGCCTGCCTTCTCCGGGCCCTGGCAGGCTCCTGGGAGCTGGCAGACTGCTCCTGGGGAGCGGTGGAGGGCTGGCTGCCAGTGGCTTGCTGGCTCATGTTTTGGGGCCACTGGGTCAGAGGCAGTGACTGCTGGCTCTGGGCTAGGAGGCTTGCAGCTGGAACAGGCACTGTGGCCAGAGTCTACCCTTTTAAAGGCTCTGGTAAGGAGGGGAGGGAGAGAAGTGTTCTTGGTTGAGGCTGGAGTGGCCACCAGGGCACCCTGGGAAGGCTGGAGGCCCCCTATTTCAAAATAAGTGTCTACACAGCACTTATTTCGAAATAGCTTTTTTGAATTTGGCGTTATTCCTTGTAGAATAAAGTTTACCAAATTCGAAATAAGCGTTCCACTATTTCGAATTTATTTCCTAATAGTGGTTTGGCTGTGTAGACGCTAGGAAAGTTATTTTGAAATAAGGGCTGTTATTTCAAAATAACTTTGCTGTATAGACATATCCTAAGAGGGGATATAATAACTTTTCAAGTACATAAAAGGTTGTTAGAAGGGAAGGGAGAATTTTTTTTTCTTAACCTCTGGGGCTAGGACAAGAAGCAATGGACTTAAATTGCAACAAGAGAGATTTAGGTTAGACATTAAGAAAAAATTTCTCACTGTCGGGGTGGTTAGGTACTGGAATAAATTTCCTAGGGCAGTTGTGACATCTCATTCATTGGAGATTTTTAAGATCAGGTTAGACAAACATCTGCCAGGAATGATCTAGATCAGTGTTTCTCAAAGTGGTCCCTAGACCCACTCTGAGAAAGCTGCTAACTGGCCGCTCCCATTTGATTATTTACTGGCTCCGCAGCAACGGAGCCTCACCGCTCCCATTGCACTTCGCCGTTTGCAGCCGAGGGGAGCTGTGGGAAGCGGCTTGGACTGGGCCACTGCTTCCCGCGGCTGCAAACATTGAACTGCAGCCAATGGGAGACGCAAAGCTCCATGGTTGTGGAGCTGGTAAATAAACAAACAGGAGTGGCCAGTTAGCAGCTTTCTCAGGGTACGTCTAGACTGTAGAGGTATCCCGGAAAGGCTCTGCCACGTCCAAGGAATGTGTCTGCTTTTCTTAAAAAAAATTCAGAAAAGCAGACGTGTATTTTCAGCATCGCTGTAAACCTCGTTTTACGAGGAAGAAGGGACGTTCCTTAAGAGGTTTTTTTCCTGACATTTGGCCTTATGTAGATGGGCCAAATGTAGGAAAAGCCTCTTTCAGAAGAAAAGCAGGAAAAGATACACAAATTGCGGCTTGCAATTTGTGTATCTTTTTCTGCCTTTTCTTTGTAGTGTAGACACAGCCTGCAGAATGGGTCTGCAGGCCACTTTGAGAAACATTGATCTAGATGGTGCTTGATCCTGCCATGAGTGCAGGGGACTGACTACACGACCTTTCAAGGTCCTTTACATTTCTGTGATTCTATAATAAAAGCTAAATTATGTCCTAACAGTTTTTAGACACTTGTGGCACACCTTGAAATAAGTATCTCCTTAAAAGATACTTCAGTGATAGTAAAAGAGACTATCGACTACACGATTAGCTGATTACTCGTTTCTTAACAACCCTAGTCTGAATGCTGTGTTGCTCTCTCACCCATATCCCTTTGTTTTTGCTTTTAGAGTCGGAGAGCACACAACTTAGATCTGAAAGGAACTGTGGTCATACTTGATGAAGCTCACAATGTGGTAAATGATTTTTTTTGGTCACTTTGCTAGGGGGCTGTGCCCCCTGCTCGCTACGCTCTCCACCCCTCCCCCTCTGTCACTGAACTTGGTCACCCCGGTCTACACGCAGTACTCCTTGGCTGGGAAGCCACATGATGAACTCGGGCACGCAGCGCTGCAACTTCCCACTTGCCTTGGCCAGGCATGGGAAGGGGCTGGCGTGGCACAGAGGGCAGGGAGTGTAGCAGAGACTGGGCAGGCACGGGATGAGGCTGGCAGAGTGAAGCAAGTGGGAGCTGTAGGGCCCAGGCATGGGCAGGGAACAAAGCAGTCGGGGTGCTGCAGGGGCCCAGCATGGCGAAGGGCAGGCTAGGGGCAGAGGGCCTTCCCCATGTCTGATCTCCGTAGCGCCCGCCCACTGTTCTCCGAGAACCTTTTCTTCTGCCTGGTCCCTGTAGTGCCCCCCACCTGCTGTGTCCTGCCAGCCCCTCCTTGTACCCACCCAGCCCATGTAGTGCCTCCCGTCTGCTGCACCCTGGCAACCTCTTCCCATGCCCAGCCCATTCAGCGCCTACCCCCATGCTGTTGCCTTATATCAAGAGACAGCAGCGTGCAGAGTGAAGGGGGCAAGCGGGAGCCAATACACATGGGGAGCCAGCTTTTAAAAGGCTGTACGTGCATGCCAGCTCTGTGGATCTTCCTGCCCCCTGAGGCAGTGGGGGTCTGGCGGGCAAGAGCCGTTTCTTTGGGGAGCTGGCTTAAATGCCGGTTCCCCCAGCACTGGTTCCGTAGTGCTACCTGCCCCCTCCCAAACTGCTGCTTCCTTCACCCAGGGGCTTCTGTTGCCCCGCACTGCTGTGTCTGTATCAGAGGCAGCAGCACGGGGCAGCATATGGGACCCAGTCTGCGTGGGGAGCTGGTTTTTAAACAGGTTCCCCTCATGGACCAGCTCCCACCTGCCACCTTGCACTGCATGGTGGCAGGGGCCTCCCGGGGAGTGGGGCCAGGAGCACACTGGCTGCCAGCCCCACCCCTGGGGGCTATCAAATAGTTGCATAACTACTAACATTTTACGCAGTTACACAACTTTTCAGTTACTTGCTACCTAACATCCATAGCAGGCACACAGACCTCAGCAGTTTATACTCAGTGCTAGAAATTGCAAACCTATCTGAAAGACCTAACATTTACAGTACAGCAGAGTTCCCCTTTGATGCAATTCTGTGCTTAGCAGAACTGATTGATTTTTCTGATACAAGAGTTTCTTGCACACCTTTCTTATCGCTTCTGAGTCAGGCTTTCCTGATGCAGTCTTGACAGCTAATTTAGCCCCTGCTCTGCTGAAACGTGCAGGTAATCAGTTTCCTATGGAATGCTGTTCAAATGACTGGAAAATCAGGAAATTGCTAAGTGGCAAGCAGCCCTGGAGCCACTGGGCTTGTTTCTTTATAATTGGTGACTGAAATTGAAGAAGTGATTATTCATGAAAAATTGAACAGTTCTCCCTGCCATAGTAATCTGGTCCAGTACTGGTTTTTTAGGTGTTTGTGCTGCAGTTGGAAGAGATGTAAAATATTATTTACTTACTAACTAACCAACCAGACTTGATCATTCTGGTTCTTATTTTCCAAGGCACTCACACAATTTCTGTGATTGCACACTCTGATATTGTTGCATTTAGAGAACTAGTTAGGCACATTACAAAATATCTACCTAAACTAGTCACTTGGACATACAGCTGGAGTAGCTGCGTGTGCACATTAGGCGTCTAAAAAACTAAGATTTTGGAAATAAGGATTCTGGGTCCAAAGTTGTTTGACTTCTATGGAATGTGAGATCCATGATGAAAGTATTGAGTCTCTGCTAGCAGTGAGTATCCCTATGTTGCAGATTTGCAGCTGGAACCTGGAAAAGCAGACTCTGATGTAGTTTCGTGTACTTTATTGCAAACAGAGCCTCCCAGGTCCCGCAGTCTATTGTGTTAGTTCTGCTCTGACATGTTGGGCTGTCTCATCTTTCAGTGCTGGATAGCACACAAGAGTCTCAGCAATGACAGAAAATTAGAGACTTCACAAGCATTTTTTTTAGTTACTTTTAAAGAACAAAGAAATAGCTGGTGGCTTCTTTCAATAAGAAGTTTATAAAGGGACAAGAGGATTCCTGCCAGAGCACCCTCTTTCTATCAAGTAGATACCAGAAGGTGCTGCATTAAAAGATCATACCTGTAACCAGGGCTACCTCTAAGCTGCATGGCTGAACACCACCTAATAAGCCCCACGCAGGGGTCAGGGCTGCCATGCATGGAGCTGCCGCAGCTAGGAAACAGGCCTCTCAACCTGGCAGCTCCGTGATGGGGCCAGAGGAGAAGCACCTCTCCCTGACCATAGCAGGAGACTGCTAGGACTGCAGGAGACGCAAGCTCCTCTAGCCCTAGCAGGGAGCTGCTGTGGCTGGAGGAGATGTGCCCTCCATTTGCCCCAGCAACAGCGCTGGATTAAGAAAGAGGCTCTAGAGTGGCCCGCTTAGCCCAGGGACTGGGGCTGCAGCCATTAAAGCCCCTATGTTCTGGGCCAGCCATTCCTGGCAGGGGTGGTGGGACAGATTCATGCGCTGCCACTCCTTCCCCCTAGCCCCCGACGGGGGCCACAGATGCTTGAGAAGTTCTGTCCCTGTGTTGTCCTCACTTGGAGGCTCTGCTCCTCCAGCTCCTGTTGGCCAGGAATGGCAGCCCATGGGAGCTGCAGGGATAAGTGCCTGTAGGTGAGCGCAGAATGTGCCATGCCACTGGTCCCTCGCCCTCTCCCCCCAAGCAAATGGGAGCTTCTTCAGGTAAGCGTCCTGCACCCTAACCCAGGAAACATTGCCACCCCAGATTCAAGAAAGGAAGAAATTGGCTACCAAAAGAGATTGGGAACCAGAGTGGAGAGTTGGCCGTTTGTAACCACCAAAGGCAAGAAGTACATAGAATCATAGAGCTGGAAGAGACCTCAAGAGGTCATCAAGTCCAGCCCCCTGCCCATGTCAGGACCAATCCCAACTACATCAACCCAGCCAGGGCTTTGTTAAGCCGAGACTTAAAAACCTCTAGGGATAGAGATTCCACCACCTCCCTAGGTAACCCATTCCCGTGCTTCACTACCCTCCTAGTGAAATAGTTTTTCCTAATATCCAACCTAGATTTCTCCCACTTTAACTTGAGCCCCATTGCTCCTTGTTCTGCCATCTGTCACTACTGTGAACAGCCTTTCTCCATCCTCTTTGGAACCCCCCTTCAGGAAGTTGAAGGCTGCTATCAAATACCACCTCACTCTTCTCTTCTCCAGACTAAACAAACCCAAATCCTTCAGTCTCTCCTCATAGGTCATTCACTCCAGCCCCCTAATCATTTTGGTCGCCCTCCGCTGGACCCTCTCCAATGTGTCCACATCCTTTCTATAGTGGGGGGCCCCGAACTGGACACGCTACAACGGATGTGGCCTCACCAGAGCCGAATAAAGGGGAATAATCACTTCTCTGGATCTGCTGGCAATGCTCCTCCTAATGCATCCTAATATGCCATTAGCCTTCTTGGCTACAGGGGCACACTGTTGACTCATATCCAGCTTCTCATCCACTGGAATCCCCAGTTTTCTGCAGAACTGCTACTTAGCCATTCAGTCCCCAGTCTGTAACAGTGCTTGGGATTCTTCTGGCCCAAGTGCGAGACTCTACACTTGGCCTTGTTGAACCTCATCAGATTTCTTTTAGCCCAATCCTCTAATCTGTCCTGGTCACTCTGAACCCTGTCCCTGCTCTCCAGCTCATCTATCTCTCCCCCTAGCTTAGTGTCATCTGCAAATGTGCTGAGGGTGCAATCCATTCCCTCATCCAGGTCGTTAATAAAGATGTTGAACAAAACCGGTCCAAGAACAGATCCTTGGGGTACTAGAAACCGACCGCCAACCTGACATCGAGCCATTGATCACTACCCACTGGACCCAACAGTCTAGCCAGCTTTCTATCCATCTTACAGTCCATGTATCCAATCCATATTCCCTTAACTTGCTGGCAAGAATATTGTGGTTCAGGTGCATTCTACATGGCTGGTGGCAGGAGAGGAGGGGCTGGCCATGATCATCAGACAGAATCAGACCAGGAGGAATGCCACATAAGTAGAACAATCTAATAATAATCATATTCTAATCCTATAATCCAAGGATATCATCTATGAAGATGCAGCAGATCAAATGAAACAAAGAGCAGTAGAAGGCATACTTGCGGTTGGTTGCTCAGGCCAACCCACAAAACACTCAAGTGTAGCCACAAAATAGGGATGTTAAAACGGTTAACCAGTTAAATGTCACTGCTTAACTGGTAACCGTTCTGATGTAGATTCCGCCGCTGCTGGCCACAGTTTTGCCACTGGGGAGTCTATCCTGGGAAGCAGTGACTGAAAAGTGGAAGGGTGTTGAAAAACTGGAGAGAGTTCAAAGAAAAGCCACATGATTGATTAAAGTTTGGAAAATATGCTGTATTTAGACTCAGGGAGTTTAATCTATTTGGATATTAGGCTACGTCTAGACTGCAAGCCTCTTTCGAAAAAGAGCGTCTAGACTGCAAGCAGTACTTTCGAAAAAGCCCTGTTTGCATTCAAGAGCACTTTCGAAAAAAGGCGTTCTTCCTCATGAAATGAGGTTTTCCGCCGTCGAAAGACAAGCCGCGTTCTTTCAATTTAATTTCGAAAGAACGCGGCTGTAGTCGAGACGCAGGTGAAGTTTTTTCGAAAAAAGGCTACTTTTTTCGAAAAAACCCTTGAGTCTGGACACAGCCTTAAAGAGAAGAATAAGGTTACGTATAAGTTCAAAATGGGAAATGGTAATTTTGTAATAAAGGGTTCTTCAGTTTAGCAGATAAAGGTATAATAAGATCCAGTGTACGAAGCTAGACAAATATAGGCCTTGTCTACACTACGGTGGTAAATTGACATAAGTTACATTACTTCTGTTACATAAATAATGTAACTGAAGTGGATGTAGCTTAGGTCAACTTACTGTGGTGCCTGTACCACACTGCGTCAACAGTAGGCATCTTTCGATGACATAACTCACTCTTCTGAGATAGCTGGAGTACTAGAGTGTATAGGAAAGTGCTTTGCCGTCAATGGAGTGAGTTGTCAGCAGACTTGCTGAATCGACACTCGACTGCAGCATTGCTCATCTACCAGTAAGTGTAGACATGGCCACAGACTAGAAATAAGGAGCAGTTTTTAACAGTGAGGATAATGAACCATTGAAACAACGTACTGGGGTTGGGATGGATTCTTTGTCATTGAAAACTTAAATCTAGACTGGATGTGTTTCTAAAAGATATACTCTAGTTCAAATAGGAATTAATTCAGGCAAGTCCGAGGGCCTGTGTTGTATATGAAGTCGGACTAGTTGATCACAGTGGTTTCTTCTGGCTCAACAAGGTTTTAAATGCCCACATACCCAGGGCACTACCAGAATCTAATCAACAATACATTCTGTATGTTCTTGGAATTGTAGGAGAAATTGTGTGAAGAGTCATCTTCTTTTGACTTGACCCCATACGACTTGGCTTCAGCTTTGGATGCTATAAATGTGGTACTGGAAGAACAAGCCAAAGTAGTTCAACAAAATGAAATCCATGCTGAATTCAATATGGAATTTGCCAACTCAGGTTTGTTGATAGCTGGGGGCTAATGGCTTGCTGAAATGTGTGGGGTGGCAATATTAACAAATATGGAAACTCATTGTTTCCCTTAGTCCCTGAAAGGTCATATCTGGATGGTAGATAGAAGAAGCTGGCTACCTGGCCAACATTGTTGCTATTCATCTAACATATAGTAACTAAGCATATCAAGGCTTAATCAAACCTTTTAACGTGAGATAAGGAACCAGGGAGGAGAAAAGTAAGAATACAAGAAGCGTAGTTGTATGAACACTGGAGTCTAGCCTTCAAAAATTGTACTATCTGTAAAGGCAGTTGGCAAAAATAGCCTCACTATTAAAAATTCAAGTTGAAAAACTAATGTGAGGAAGTTAGAATTAAGTTAAACAGTTGGATCAAATGCTGAACAGTTCATCTAAACTCCGTGCAGTTAGGAGTGAATTGTTTTTCCTTTTCAAACAGGACTCAGCATGGAGCTTGAAGATATAGCAAAGATAAAGAGTAAGTACCATTTGTGGTGTGGTAAATTTTCAACAAAATTCCTATTGATACAATAGCCAAAAAAAAAGGTGGTGTTGGAAATGATGGTAAATCAACCTCATGCACCCTTTCCATGAATCCCTTTGACATCTGTTAGGTACATAGTTGAAAGCTTCATAGGCAATGGGAAGGTATTTTATTTATTTTAGAGAGAAATTTTGTCAAGTATTCTGGTCCTTTGAGCATTCAGCCTTTTTCAGCATAGCTGAGAGGTTTGTATAGCTGGCAGGAGAATGCCTCCTAGTCATTTTCACCATTGCAAGGACTTCATACATTTTTAATCCATCTCTCTTTTGGTGTTGCATTGGTTGTACCACTCTGCTGCAGTGGCAGTTCTGCCAGCCAACAGCTCAATTTGTACTAAAGAGTTTGACCTTAAATAATACTCTGCATCCTACCATATAAGAATACTTGCTGGAATAGAACAGAATATTTGAGGGAAAATGGTTAAATTGCAAGCACTCTTTTTTCTTCTGATTCCTCACGTTGTTCCCTGGGTGGTGTGACGTGAGTATGAGATCTGTACTCTTGGATTATGGCGTTAGGAAGTAATTACAGTGGAAGTCTTGATAATGTTTTCAAACTCAGCAGACCAGAAAGCGTCAGAGTCCCATACTTTACCAAAGTGGCTGCAATGCTGTGTTAAATGGATTTTGAATATTTTTGTTGCCAACAAATATTTTCAAATGCTTATTTCCACAGTTCCATCCTACAATTAAAGTTAATCACAGAAGTTACTCTGCATAGTCTAGACAGTATTTCAGCTGTTAGGGTGAGCGGTTTACATTGCTGTTTTTGCCTGTTCATTGGGCTCTCAATCACAATACTTCCTTCTAAAAAGCCAGCAGGAGATCAGCAACAGTAGTTCAGAGAATCACAGAATACAGTGGCATGTAAAATCTCAGTTTACAGGACTATATAATTGGATGTCCTCAGTATAAAGAGCAGGCAGTATGAGCCAATACATAGAGCACTGGAATGAGACTCAGAGACATAAATTCGGTTCTTGGCTCTGCCACTGGCCTGCAGGCTGACCATCAGCAAGTGATTTTATCTCCATGTGCCTCAGTTTCCCCATTTCTAAAACATGGATGCTGACTTGCTGTGCAAAGTGCTTTGAGATTTAGTGTTATAAAATACTATATTATGCCTTCTTTCTCTTACCTGTTAACTCACCATGGTTGCATAATCTTCATCTGCTAGGCTCAGCTATACAAGAATAAACTTAAAAAACAACGTATGGTATGGTAGCACTTTATAGACTAACAAAACATGTAGATCTGTGGTCACCAACTCATCGATTGTGATTGACTGGTTGATTGGGAGGGCTCAATCAGTCGATCGTGAGGTATTAGAAGCCCCACTATCTACCTCCAAAAATGAAGGTAGTGCCGGCTTCCCATGGGAAGTTTCCAGAAGTGCGCTGCCTGCTCCCCTCCTCCAAGTCTGTGGCGCTGCGGGAGGACGTAGGAGTCCCGGAGGAAGGTGCGTGCTGGGGCTTCCAGGGGATGGAGGGAGGCGTGCACCAGGGCTCCCTTCTTATGCAAAGAGGGGGGAGGAGTCCGGAGGGGAAGCGTGCGCCGGAGAGGGGGGAGGAGTCCGGAGGGGAAGCGTGCGCCGGAGAGGGGGGAGGAGTCCGGAGGGGAAGCGTGCGCCGGAGAGGGGGGAGGAGTCCGGAGGGGAAGCGTGCGCCGGAGAGGGGGGAGGAGTCCGGAGGGGAAGCGTGCGCCGGAGAGGGGGGAGGAGTCCGGAGGGGAAGCGTGCGCCGGAGAGGGGGGAGGAGTCCGGAGGGGAAGCGTGCGCCGGAGAGGGGGGAGGAGTCCGGAGGGGAAGCGTGCGCCGGAGAGGGGGGAGGAGTCCGGAGGGGAAGCGTGCGCCGGAGAGGGGGGAGGAGTCCGGAGGGGAAGCGTGCGCCGGAGAGGGGGGAGGAGTCCGGAGGGGAAGCGTGCGCCGGAGAGGGGGGAGGAGTCCGGAGGGGAAGCGTGCGCCGGAGAGGGGGGAGGAGTCCGGAGGGGAAGCGTGCGCCGGAGAGGGGGGAGGAGTCCGGAGGGGAAGCGTGCGCCGGAGAGGGGGGAGGAGTCCGGAGGGGAAGCGTGCGCCGGAGAGGGGAGAGGAGTCCGGAGGGGAAGCATGCACCGGGGAGGGGGGGGGAGTCCCAGGGAGAAGCGCGTGCCGGGGAGGGGGGAGGAGTCCGGAGGGGAAGCATGCACCGGGGAGGGGGGGGGAGTCCCAGGGAGAAGCGCGTGCCGGGGAGGGGGGAGGAGTCCGGAGGGGAAGCATGCACCGGGGAGGGGGGGGGAGTCCCAGGGAGAAGCGCGTGCCGGGGAGGGGGGAGGAGTCCGGAGGGGAAGCATGCACCGGGGAGGGGGGGGGAGTCCCAGGGAGAAGCGCGTGCCGGGGAGGGGGGAGGAGTCCGGAGGGGAAGCATGCACCGGGGAGGGGGGGGGAGTCCCAGGGAGAAGCGCGTGCCGGGGAGGGGGGAGGAGTCCGGAGGGGAAGCATGCACCGGGGAGGGGGGGGGAGTCCCAGGGAGAAGCGCGTGCCGGGGAGGGGGGAGGAGTCCGGAGGGGAAGCATGCACCGGGGAGGGGGGGGGAGTCCCAGGGAGAAGCGCGTGCCGGGGAGGGGGGAGGAGTCCGGAGGGGAAGCATGCACCGGGGAGGGGGGGGGAGTCCCAGGGAGAAGCGCGTGCCGGGGAGGGGGGAGGAGTCCGGAGGGGAAGCATGCACCGGGGAGGGGGGGGGAGTCCCAGGGAGAAGCGCGTGCCGGGGAGGGGGGAGGAGTCCGGAGGGGAAGCATGCACCGGGGAGGGGGGGGGAGTCCCAGGGAGAAGCGCGTGCCGGGGAGGGGGGAGGAGTCCGGAGGGGAAGCATGCACCGGGGAGGGGGGGGGAGTCCCAGGGAGAAGCGCGTGCCGGGGAGGGGGGAGGAGTCCGGAGGGGAAGCATGCACCGGGGAGGGGGGAGGAGTCCCGGGAGGAGGCTCTTGCCAGAGCTTCCCTCCTCTGGGGGGGGAGGTGAGTGTTGAGGATTCCCTGCCCCAGCCAACACCCTGCCCCCTGTTCCCACTGGAACTCTGCTCCCACTGGCATCCTGGCCCCTGCCCCTGCCCTCGCCAGCACCCTGTCCCTTGCCTCCACTGATACCCTGTCCTTGGCCCCAGGCCCTTGCCCCGGAACCCACTGGCCCCCTGTCCCTTGCCCCAGCCGCCTGTCCCTTTCCCCAGCACCCATTGGCACCCTACCCAGCACCCTGTCCCCTGCCCTGGCACCCAGTCTCCTGCCCCAGCACCCACAAGCACCCTGCCCCAGCACCCATTGGCACCCTACCCAGCACCCTGTCCCTTGTCCCGGTACCCCTGGCATCCTCCCCCAATACCATCTGCCCTGCTCCCACCAGTACAGCTGGGGCCACATTAGTGAGGCTTGTGGGGGGTTTGGAGGGTTTTTATTTTGCATCTCACTTGTGTGGCCTCAACTGACTTTTCTGTGGGTCAGTGACCCCTAACTCAAAACAGGTTCCCTGCCCTTCTCATAAATAAAGACAGTGCAGAAACTTTTTGTGTTTGACATAGTATTTTATTTAAAAATGAAGCCTGGCCAACAAACCCCCATCTGCCCACAGCATCATAACACTCCTGCACTCCCCCTTCCCCCAGACCCTCAAGCTGAACCTGTCATACACTGGAACCCCATTCCCTGAGTCCCTCACATACCCTAACCCAAATTTCTGCACCCTCATATCCACAAGCCTGTGGCTTGTTTAGTACC